AGTGCGAATGATGTTTCCACTCTTTTGCCGTTGCCAATGACAATCTGCTATTTTTATAATATATTAGTATTATTAGAATATATTATTAGTATATCTGAAGTACAGAGCTCCTGTTGGGATTCAGCTTGCTCCCTTGTTTATTACGTACATCACCTCAGTGCAGGGTATTTACATTTATTCAAGTGCTGTGCAAATCACGGCTTCTAAAAAACAGAAAGGTGATTTCAATTGAAACAAAGCAAGAAATCATCAGAAGGAGTGAAAGTTGACAAAAACTTTCTTGCCAAATGGGGAGAGGTTTAGGAGTTTACCAACACTCATTATCCAAACAGAGCTGAGGCCAACAGGATCAATGATTTCTACAATGACACCCTTGCCCATCATTTGCGACAGGTGTTGAAGAAGAGACAGAAACAGACCACCTTGGACATGTTTTTCAAGAAGCCAGCTGCCTAACCATAGTGGTTGCTATAAAATGGGCAACAATTTGACTTCCTGACAAACTTGCTCAACTTTTGACACACTAATAAATCTATAATATTAAACATATTAAACAAAGTTTTTAATTGAATAAGAAAAGGTACTTTTTTTATGAATTAACCAAATCATTTCTTTTTACACATGCATTTGTAAAACATGTAAACCATTAGGCCCTACACACTAATAATATTCAAGTTTAATACTAAATTTTGTGCCCATTTGTAAAGATATTTGTAAATGAAATGTAACTAATAAATTTGAAAACAAATATTCCATCTTTTTCTTTGAAATTTTATTAATAAATAACTGTCTATTGATAGTTACAAGAGCAGATCCAGGAGCAAGTCTCTGTAGCATTTTTAATTTGTGTAATACATAAACAGAACAAAGTACAGTACATGAATTTAAAAACAACAATAAAAAATAAAATTAAAAATAAATGATAGAAATATTAAAATATAAGTATATTGTTTAAAAAAATAATAATTAAACTCATATTAACAATAAAATCTTGACACAATTGCCCAAAGCAATCTCTTAGACCTGCTACTGGATTATTATGTTATTTTGTTTATTGTTTTCATAGATTTTAAATAGTTTTTCTCATATCAAGTTAATTAAAAATTTCAGGAAATGAATACTTCTTATAAATACATCAATAATTAACAAGAAATAAATGTAACAGAGTTGTAAACTAGCTTACATTTAAATAATAAAAAGGTTTTGTTACTTACAACATATTCATCCTCATAGCCTTCGTCGTCATCAGGCTCTCCAGTATTTGGATCACAATCTTTAACTGTATACTTAAGAATGTTACTAAACGAACCTGTAACTATAGAAGCACAAATTTTTTTTTTGGTGTTTCTGAAAACTGAGCTGAAAATTTTTATTCTGAAAATAAATATTTACCAGAAACAGGATCACTTGGTAACCTAACACATGTGTAAGTAGTCCCAGGTACATTATAGGTAAGCTTTTCACATGGAATACAACTTAACACTTCAAACCCCTCAGATGGCTGCATCTGTACTTTAACATTTTCTAATATTTGATCATTTAATGTGTTGGTGCAATCAAACTAAATAAAATGTTTTTTTTAATTAATATAGTATTAATGGATGATGCATTTTTATATCATCATATTACTTACTTGGAAAACAATATGATCATTGAATGTGTGTTTTATACATTTAACTACATATTCAGTTTCAGATTCTGTTAGTTCTGTTGCTTGTGATGACTTGAACAATGGACCCAAATTTAAATTAGCTAACTCTGGCACAAGTGACATTTGCTCTAATTGATAAAAAATTAAGAAATTAAATGATTTAATAAGATCGTTATGTAACTCAATATTTTACTTTGCACCTAAATATATTAGTAATATAATGTACAAGTATCCCTCGCATAACAGTTATTGTTCCAAAAAGTGCCATGTTATGCAAATTCATGCTATACAAAACAAAGCATGGGTTTAGATTCCAAAAATTAACAAAAGTATACTATTCGTTTTCATTAGCAAGAGAAATATGTTTATGAAAGCAATCAGTAACTAACAATCACAATTAAAAGTACTGTATGACATGTTAATATTAATTTTAGTTAAACGAGAGTTTTACAAAGTATTGTCATCATCTGGGTTTTTTGTTGGTCTTGATCAGAAATATCAAGATCATTATTTTTTTATTTTTATCATAATTTTTTATGAATGACAAAATAAAAATATGTTATTAATTGAAAATTTGTTCTAGAGAGTTGCATTTGTTCAGTCCAGTACTGAGCAACTTTTTTCCAGAATTTGTGTTCGAATTCTGAATTGTTCAAGTTGAAAACGGCTTGAATACCGAGATACAAGTGTATTTCCTTCATCATTTTTAGGAATGATGCAATAATTCATAGGCAAGTAATAATTAAGGTTAAAAAAAGTTTAACCATACTCATCAAAAATGTTTAAATAAACTTTAATAAATACCAAGATTAATCTATAAAAAGAAAACACAGTGACAGTCTAAGGGCTAAAGCCCGAAAGCAATGACAATGACACCTGGTTGATAAGAAAGCTAGGACAAGGAAGAAACAAATTGCACATCAGTTTTCATTAAAGTAAACCTGATGAAAGGCACAAAACAAATTAAAAATTTCAATATTCTAAAATCCTTGGGTAAATTGGAGATAACATGCATGCTTACTTGAATAAAAAAACTATCAAATAATGGAGTCTACACTTAAAAATTGTGAAATTTTGTACAGAAGATTTCCAAACTGTGTTAGAGCAAAACCGAAAACAGTGTTGTATGGGGAATTTCCCCAATTTTTGAACCATGTTAGAGCAAAATCATGTTGTATGAGGGATACCTGTATGCCTAGCTTTTATCATACCTGCAAATAATTCTTGCCTAGATGCTAACACTTTCTCTGCAGGTCTTCCAACAGGAATTATTTCTGAAATATTTTACATATTTAATTTCAATATAATATCTATCTATATTAAAATATTGAGTTCATTACTTAGCTGACAAATTAATATAAAACAATTATGAACAAATTATTAAGCATTTTTATTGTAAAAGATACTTAAAAAAAATCAATTTGAAAAGGTTCATTTTCCACGTTTTAAACACAAAAAAACATTGGTATTTACCAGGTTTCTTCTCTTCAGATATTAAAGGCTGAGTGGCTAAAGGTACAGTTTTCATATCAAAAGGAACTTCAGAAGGTTCTAATGTATACTGATGCAATGACTTTTCAAGAGCAGTTATTGAAACTTGCAGTCCTATTATTATCAGTTATCATCAATTATTAATTATCAATTATTTATTAAAAACAGAAATAATTATCTAATCACATACCACTCATAATATAATGTAAATTTAATGATCTTTGTTTTTGGTTAAGAACACTAAGATAATACGTAGAACGATCTCTAACTTCATCATCCATATCCAGCAAACAACGTTGCAAGAGAACAATGACATTTGGAAGAAGATCTTCACAATGTGCACCAAATTTTGAAAGTGAACTTACAGCGGCTATAATTAAAAATCAATTCTATTTATGTAAAAGAATATTTACATATAGGTTTGAAAGTTTTTGAAATGTCTATTACCTGCTCTAACAGGTGCATTCTCTAGTATAAGGCGATTGTATATAAATCTAATATATTTGGAAGGTTGCAAAGTAAATGGTCCTTCTTTCCCAAGAAGATGCAATATACAAACAGCTAAACTGGTATGCTCACAATCTTCAATAAACTCACATAAGTGTGATAAACCTTAAAAAAAGATACATAAAATATATTTTAAAAAATTATCTAAAATTATTAAATTACTAAATTATCATTTATTCAGTTTTTACTTTAAAATCTTATCAGTAATATTAACAATTAATACCAACCAGCTTCTTTAGAATCTTGATTATCTTCAATAATATTAATAATAGTATCAACAATAGCTTTTTTATACTCAAAACCACCTTCCTCCCGTAGCATGGATGATAAGAAATTCATCATAACATTATGTTTACGTGGAAATTTTTGACATAATGACCTGTATTAAAAATGATTTTACAATTAAGATAGAAAAATTAATAAAAATTCAAATTAATAACTAATTACTTCATAAATTACCTGATTGCTTGGACTACAACAATTTTGAATTCGTCAGAAATCTCAGACATGAAAGATGCTATCTGTTTCATCAACCGCTCAACACTGCTTTCACTACCAGTTTTAAGCAGAGTTGTAATGGCAAGGGTGGCAATGCTACGATTGACATCAGTAATTAGATTCTCCAAATCTAAATTGCATGCAGTAACTGCCGAAGGATGAGTCATTGCAACCTTTAAATTAAAAACATTTAAATTTGCTCTTAAAAACTGAAATAAGTCAAAAGAAATCTTAAATATATTTAAATAGCTCGCTCTTCTTACTTTATTAAGTGTTCTCACAGCAGCAAACCGTAATGTTGGCTTTGGTGAACTACAAAATAATTGAAGAACAGAAACAGCTGGTGTAAGCTCTCTAGATGTTGTGGATTTTAAATTAACAATGGCATGAACAGCTTCATAAACTACCATTTCACTTTTATGATGTAAACAATTCTCAATAAATTCAAACAATGGGCTTTCTGGTCTGTAAAATAAACTTAATATTAAGTTTATACAAAACATTCATGTAAAAATTAAATAAACTAAACTACAAAAATAATTACAATAAACTATAAAGATAATCATGCAACTGCAAACATTTAAATATTCCCTACACAACAGACTAAAATGAGAGAAAATTTTTTCAATAATTAAAAATAGATTAAAGATATAACTGTGAGAAAATTTTGACAATTTTAAACAAGAATGAAATAATTTCATTTGTAATACTATTACAAATAAAATAAAAATTTAAATTAAAAAAGGGAGAGAATTAATAAAAATATGAAAAATACTGGTTTACTTATGCATTCTAATTCTGAAAAAAATCATATTTCTTTTCTAACACAATACAACCTATAGCAGGAGTCAGCAACTTTTCAGCGGTGTTGTGTCAAACCTAAGTTATAGTGTTATTCTAGTATCTATATGATTCTACTAATTTTGTTATACTGTATATATTATCAAAATTGGTCAAGATATAATGGACTTCAAAAATACGTAATTTTAAAGTTAAGTTGTTAATTGAATTATGTTCTTACACATAAGACACATGCACAACATGTAGATGACAACACAGTGTAAACACATGCACTGTAATATAAATTTACAAGCAAGAGATCCTTTTTAATGTACCCAAGTCTAGATTAAACTACAGATGCCATTTAAATGTGTAATTAATAATTAAAATATAACTTTTTCATTTCTATTCAAAGTGCCACTGAAAATCGTCCCATAGGTTGCTGACCCGATCTATAGCATTAGTGCCAGATGAGACTTTGTTATTCATTTAAATATATACTGTGTAGTTACCTAAACACCCAAAACTATACAAAATTTTTCCAAACTATAACAACATTCAATAACAGCTAACCTATGCTATAAGGAATAAAAATTCCAACCTGAAACAGCTCATTTTTCGAAAACAAATTTATTTTGTCTATTTCAATATAAAATAATAAGAATGTATACCAGGGGTGTCCAACCTTTCAATTTCTTTGGGCCGCATTGGAAGAAGTCAAGGAGTTTTGGGCTACAAGTATATATAATATATACTTGTGGCCCAATATATGAGTATACTAAAGGATTAACACATCTAGATTATAATAATAAGTATTAAATCTTTATCACGAAAAAGGATATTTTAAAAATTACTTCTACAGACACTTTCAATTTTACTTAGAAATAGACAAATTCATTTACTATAAAAAAGACAAACGAAACTTTATTTGAAAAACACAAATATTTGTTTTATTTGGGTCTCTAATAAAAAGCGACGAAACACCATTTTAAAGTGCATTTTTATTCAACTAATATATAAATAATATGTAGCCTAAGAAGTAGCCAAAGCGCCAAATGATATTTTTTACCTCAAACCAAAAAAAGTACCCACATTTGGTGCAAATGTAGCCAAATCTTGCAACGTTGGAAGAAATACTAAATAAAGCTGGAGTTGTGACTCAAAGGATTATAGACCAAATGCGGGGAAAGGAGAGAAAAGACAAAAGATGAAAAAGTGAGAAAGGTTGGAAAATTAAGGGTTCATATTTGCTTAACAGAAGATCTATTTAACCTTTCTCATTACTACATCTTTTGTCCTTTCTCACCTTTCTCTCCTTTCCCAAATTTGGGTCTATAATTCTTTGAGTCACAACTCCAGCTTTATTTAGTAATCCTTCCTCATTCACACAT